GTACAGGCTCTGAATAAATCATAAACCTTTTGATAGGTCGAGAGCTTCCGAGGAATGCCTATTTTGTTGACATGCGTCGGTGGTTTGAAAGCTGTCGCTCTTTTTGTGAAAGATCTGATACAATTGATATACCCGATATGTAAAATTATTGTGTCGCACAAAATGTAGGCTCATCGGTTTTCACTAGCCCTTGAAAATGCGATATTGATATTTCTAAGCAAAAATCCTTGAAGATTGAGACCTGTTTTATTGAAGGGCATATTGTTTTGGGCGTTCAGCTTTTTCGTTCTGAATTTGACGTGTTCCCTATATTGCACCAGAAGTAAGCAGCTAATTCGCCGCCTAAACATATGCTCGCGTAGGTCGATATCACTGGGTGCAATTGCTGGCTTGCTTTCTGTCCTCTCATTGCATATGTTCGTTACATATAAGCTTTGACCCTGACCCTGACCTAGCTTTGAGTAGAACAAATCGAGTTCTTCGTTGGATGATAGGGATTTCACGCTCCGCAAAGCTTATTTTCAACGATCCAACAGGAACTCAAACCACAGCTTCAGATACCGTAAGTCTCAGATTATGGGTCTCCGCCTGGGCCAGTCCTAAAGTTCAGTGGAGTTCCGTGTCATTTCTACTTTCTAGTAAAGGCTGCAGAGATGTTCTTCGGAAATGCTCGAGAGACTGTGATTTATAGAATTCCCTAAGTAAAAAGACTATTGTCACTTTGGTATCCTGTACATACATGGTGATTACATCATGTTCGGACCCCAAAAGTCCCATTCATAATCCTCGCGCCGTATTCTAACCGTTCCCCTCACACCTTGAACAATGTGCTAGAAAGCGCGCCGTCGGCACGACCGCCCCTCTGCTGCACTTTCTCTCCTCTCCTTCCCGCACCGCCGGACTGCACAGTGCACACGTAGCGGCGTGTTACGCAGACGGCGCCGCCAGTCTCGCCTCCCCCGCCGGCAGCGCGTCCGTCCGGCTGGCACGGCGGCCGGGTCAGGGTCGCGCCGTGCGCTCCACCTGCGAGTGGCGCCGTCCCCGGCAGCGCCACTAGGCCACCGAGCCGGAAGGTGCGACCGTGCCTCCTCTGTACACGGAACACGGCGAGCGCGCGCGCCTGCAACCAGCCCAGGGCCCTTCCGGGACGGTCACGAGACTGCCGGCGAGGCCGCGACGTGCAGGTGTGATGCAACCGTCCGCGGGATCCCTGATGTCCTCATCAGGGATGACATGGTTATGCATGTGCTCTGGATGACCTTAAATGTCATAAAGGATAATCAAAGTGGGTATTTGATATGCGTGCTCACTGCTCATCATATGGGACGTGGGAGTCAATGTGACTTGTTCGCTGCTGAGTAAGAACTCTGCAGTCTGCACTATCCAGATTGTCACAGACACGGCAGATTACAGAGTTGTTCTACCTGTTCCGATGATATATATCTTTTTAATGCGTCATATAAAGAGGTAAATGCGACAGCTAATTAAATAAAATTGCGGAAGAGCGCTGTTCCCACAAGTGACGAATACGCCTTCGTGCGGCGCCGTCCCATAGTCTTTCGCATCTCTGATGAATCCTTCCAATATTTCGCCTTTCTCCCCCGCCACCCACCTACCACCTAGCGGTGTATCATTCGGCTCTTCACGGAAAATCCAGCTGAGATTGGTGGCCGTCCCAGCCCTTCCACTGCGCCCACGATGCATTCCTGGCGCTCCCTGGGCTCCCCACATCTCTCCCCGTCTCTCCCCGTCTCTCCCCGTCTCTCCCCACATCTCTCCCAGTCTCCTCGTCCCTCCCTCGGTGCCGGGCGGTCCAGCCTGCAGACCGGACGTCGCTCGGTTTCCAGCCGTTACCTGCAGCGTCCCGCCTGCAGGCGGGCCGCGTACGGTACCGGTAGGCACGCCTGCCGAATGCCGCGCCTCCGGGCCAGGCAGGCGCTCTGTGCAGATATGTGGGCCACCGAAATGGGACGGTGCGACCCGGCGGCGGGGGAAAGACAGCCAGGGGGAGGCTGACGTGAGGATCACAATGTAGTAATGCGAGTTGTTTGAGAGATTATGCAACGTAAAGAACGCAGACGGATAAGAGATTTAAATGAGGAAACCCAGGCCGCGCCGAGGTGGGGCTGCACAAAATGGGAAATCCGACCGACTGGGCGTCCGGTGTCCGGTTCGCCGGCCCTAGAGTCGGGTCTGTCACCTGGGATAGGCGCGTCTGTCTGGGCTGGCCCGCCCGGCGGCGGAGGTGCACTCCGGAGGAGTTCGGTACCACCCGGTGCCGCGCGGCGTGACCAACGGATCCACGGTAGTACGACACTCTGTCTGTCTGTCTGTCTGTCTGTCTGTCAGGGCTGCGGAGTCGGAGTCGCTCGTAGTCGACAGTCGTGACCGAAGTCAGAGTCTGAGTTGGTTTTTAAAAGCCGGAGTCGGAGTCGGAGTCTCCAAAAATCCATCGACTCCGCAGTCCTGCAGTGTCTGTCTCCCGTGTGACCCCAGCTGACTGTGGCCCGTGGACGATGGTCCGTTGGGCGCGGTGTGGTGCCGCCCGGTGCCGCTCCCGGCTGTCCGTGCCTTGTCGACCGTGTCGCCCTGTGCCGTGCACGGTGTGCGACTGTCGGGGGTGCAACTATCGCTCCAACAGATGGTCAGATCGCACGATAGATTGGACGGTGTGCCGTGATGTGTATCAGCGGGGGCGGGTGGCAACTGAGGGCTGTGCAGCGATCGGGAGGTATAGAACGGCATGTTAAGGCCGCCGTGAGAGTATGGGGGAGGAATGCGGAGAGGGAGTGGAATTAGAATCGCACGGACCTCGGGTGGTGCAATGGAGAACAGGATGGCGACCCGCCCAGCTAGTTTCGCCCGTTCGGCGAGCCAAAGTGCCGGAAATCTCGCGCAAAATGCGTCGTGTAAACGTCAAATCTGCAACGAGCGAATAGCTTAAACGTCACTTTGCTACGGCCGGCTAGCCACAATGAACGGCGCCAAGGTTGCGTTACGACAAGAGGCTCGTTGGACCGCGCTCGGTTCTCGTTTGTGGCGCTCTCACTGGGCTCTGTGGCCGCCGTTCGTCTTGGCCAACACACGGCAAGGCCGGGTAACGGCCAGGGACCCGCGGCGGCGGCAGCGGGCCAGGCACCCGGTGACACCACCCCTGTTTGTCCGCCGGCGCCGAGAGCTCCATGACGCCGGCTCTGTGGACGTTTTGGCCAGATTTGATGGGATTAGCCGCCGAGTTGTGGGGCTATTTATTACCTCGGCGGTTGGGGAGCGGTGGCTGCTGGACGTGTGACGCACGTCGGTGATGTTTGCAGGTGTTGACGCTCGGTGACGGGTGCCGACATGCTGTCGTTGACGGTTGAGGTAGGCAGCTGGAAGCCGGATTAGCGATACGATTTGTCCATGACCATGAATTAGCATCACTGTCATGGTGAGATGAGCGTCCAATCGATCTTTCTGATTCATTGTCTTTGATTTTATTTTAAAAAGGTTGATGAACTCATCCTGCAGAATATTGCAAGTGCATATCTACATATGCATTTTCACTACCGGCCGGTATGTAGAAAGCTATCCTTTCTGGTGACTTGCAGATTCTGCTCGAGCCCGTCCCGTTCTCCCGCTGCGGCCGTAAGTTTCACATTTTCCGCCTCCGGGCCCGACCTTCTATTTGGTGCTCCACCGCGAGACATTGCGTCACGGCTCACGGCACAGGTCGGCCCGGCCGATTTTCGCGTCACACGCCATCCACGTGGCACGGTTTCGCACGCTTCTCACCCGGTGGTGATCCTCTTTTCCATGACTGTCTGGGCATGGAATAAATAGGCAGTATTTCTGTGGATTATTACGCTACTACGATGCCGCACCCGGTGCTTAGCTTTTCCGGGAGTTTGTGCAAGGTAGTGGCCTGCCACCAGATTGTTTCATTATTCATGATCTCGCTTCTCCGAAGAAAAAAAAAACAAGCTAGCCGTTGACAGATTAAATATGGTATTCATCTGACATCTGTTTCAGCTTGATTTCTGAGCATTGATGCTCGGCTTGTTTGTTTTGCCTTTTAGGGATGTCTCCACTCTCCACTCGGCTGCACATTTGAAATGCGGTGGCATCTATCATAAGGTTGGAGTTAAGCCGTCTAAATGCCAACTTGTCAAGTGATCTTCCGTAAAGAACATCTTATCCCTACAAAAAAAAACCTAGTGCTCGCTGCTGAGCACAATCCCGAGTAGTGTTGGGAATTCCTCTAAGTCCCTAGGCATGTGTCTGCCGTTACTTCTCTCGCACACTCCACGATGAACAAGAATGGCAAGTAATGAGTAAAATAAAATCCGTGCGCTTATGCCACATTATAGTCTCGGCTGAGTTGACGGGTGTGCCCCTAATGATACCAGTCACTCCGGTATGCGACTTTAGGCACCTGGCACCGAGCCTGGCACAGCCTTGTGCTCACGGCGGCGTAAGAAACCAGTCCGCTGCTTACAATTATCGCGGTGTTTTGTATTCCTTCATCGTAACACGTAAACACGTATGGCCGTGCTGTGGTGGATAAGATTGCCGAATATGGTTGGTCTGCCCCATCAGGGTCAGACTGGGAAACCATCATCGATATGCACACCGTCGCTTCTGACCATCAGCGTTCTTCAGGGCCGCCTCTCTCGGGCGTGCATGCACGCGTGCTCACGTGCTTACGTCGCCTGGCGCTGCCTGGCATAGGATTGCGTTGCAGCCTCGGTGCGTGCGGGGTGCGTGTTTTTGCGTTCTGTCGCCGCCCCAGCCTCATATCAATGCGCCGATGCCGGCCGATGAGTCAGAGGCAGCGGCGGACTGCCGAGAGCCGACAGGCACCTGACAGCTCCTTCCCCCGCGCTCAGCAGGACTGCCGAGCGCCTTCCTGCACCTGACAGCTCCTTCCCCCGCGCTCAGCAGTCTTTCATTAGGCCGTCATCTCATTACAGCAGTCTGTCTTTACGCCTTCTGTCATTAACATCATGTTTCGCTGACAGGCTGGAGAGCCGACTGACGGACCTGCCCAGCCGGCAGCACCACCCTCGCCGCTGGACGCGGCCTTCCTTCCGGAGCTGATCGGTAACACAGAGCTGCTGACGGACGAGGCGAGACTGTGCCTGCAGCGACACCTGCCCGCCCGAGTGGAAGGTGAGGACGGGAGGGGAATGGAACGGGAGCGGGAGAGAAGAGAGTGCGAAAGATGGAGGAGCGAAAGATGATGTGTGCTGGTTATTATGTATGAATAGCTATTCGCTAAATGAGACAGTAGGCCGGTTAGGTTAGCGAGTGAATCGGACACGCTGGATTGAAGTTTAACGGACACTGAAACTACAGCACACAATGGAAGTGAACGGCATGGCTGGCTGGCCTTGCGATGCGTACCACAGGCAGTTGATAAAAGAAACGTCACCGTTTTCAGGAACCGGACAGTTAGCAAAAATCCGAGACGTCCTTGTCGTACGACTATCGCCTGTCACATTGGCCGTTCGCCAATACATTGTCTGATGACAAGCATGACTATGTGATAGCTACTGTCTTTGCATTTTTAATTAAGGAAGTGCGGTTTAATTTTTAAATGAGCGAGGTTCATGACCGAACCAAGGTCACTATTAGCTGTCACGTATTAAGTGAGCTCATCCAATTACACTGTAGCAGCAGCAATCGACCTTGCAGGGCGCAATGATCCTTGACGTCACCGTGGGGCCGCTGCTAATCATCCTCAACTAGCCCTGTCGCTGCACGGTGAACGTAGCGTCTTGTTCTCGATGTGTGTATAACCCCGAGTTGGCGTTTGTTTCAGGTCACCCGTGGCAGCTGGTGTATAGCGCCTCCGAGCACGGCTTCAGTCTGAAGTCGCTCTACCGGCAGGCCGTCGAGTTTGACTGCCCCATGCTGATGGTAGTCAAGGATGCATCCGATAGCGTGAGTTTGTCTGCGGGGAATTGTCTCAGCCAGTAAAGGAGACACAGGCTGGATGGGCGGCCAGTGTGCTTCGGTGTGAACTGCAGTGCTTTTCAGTATTGTGATTTGAATCATGTGACCGATCGTCGGCTCAGACGGGTAGTCTCCAATAAAGCCCTTTAATCTGGTTAAAACTGGGTGATCTAGGTCACGTGCTAAACCCTGTTCAGCTCAAAGTCGAGGATTGTGATTTCGCCACAGTCCATTCAGCTGTTTGGGAAACCCGTTTTAGTACAGCTCGCCTAACTCAAGTTGCCAAACTTCTACCATAATTAGACACGCGGTCTCACCGCTAACACCCAGCTGTATAATTCTCACCACTATCACACTGTTGTATTCTCACCACTAACACACTGTTGTGTTGTCTTCCTCAGGTGTTTGGTGCGGTCTGCACCGATCCGATCCGGTTCGGCAAACACTACTACGGCACCGGCGAATCGTTCCTGTTTACGCTGCGGCCCCAGTTCCGCGTGTACCGCTGGTCCGGCGAGAACCAGTACTTCGCCAGGGGATCGACCGACTGCCTCGAGTTCGGCTCTGGAGAGTGAGTGGAGTATGAGCGCAGGGGAAGGTAGACTGTGGTTGCCCAGTGGTTTGGGGCTCTGTGGTTTAGCAGGTGCCTCAGTGGTTTAAGTTTAGTGGTTTGGCGGGTCGGTCTCAATGGTTTCAGGTTCAGTGGTTTGAGTGGGGGGGGGGGGATTCAGATATGCGGTGATTGGAGTTATGGTAGGAAGGCTGTAAGACATGTTTCTGTGGAAAGCTGTGTTATATCGAGCTCTTCCATGACTGACCTCTCGACTCTCGAGTACGCGCCTGACTGACATCTGTGTATCGTTCTGCCCGCAGTGGTCGCGCAGGTCTCTACGTAGACGAGGACCTGGCGCGAGGCATCACAGAGCCGTGTCAAACCTACAACAACGACCCGCTCACGGTCGGCAAGGAGTTCTTCATCACCGCCGTGGAGCTGTGGGCGCTGGGCTGAGCCGCCTCTTCGACAGACATCAGCATTTCACTGCTGCCTGTCGTCCCGTACGGACGGAGTACGGCCGTCTCTCCCGTACGGACGGAGTACGGCCTGTCTCCCCCGTACGGACGGAGCGACGGAGCCTGCTCTCGGCGCAGTGCAGGACACTGCAGGGACGGGCAACCCAGTGACACTGGAACCCGAGTGAGCGCTCCGGTGGTCTTTTCAAAGCCGCTGAGAGTGGCAGACTGGTGTTCGAAGACTGTGTCAAGATGGCGGCGTCAAAAGCGAGTCGGCGTCACACGGCACAGGTGACGCCGTGTGTCGCTGGGGTGACTTCACAAAGCGAACTGGGCCTAGTGAGCCGACCGTCACACGAAAAGACAGTTGCGTCGCAGCCTTTCTACAATGTGTCAGTGTGTGCTGTCGTGTGTAATTTAATGTGAGCAGTGGTGACGTGTGGAATTCTTCAGGCTGTGAGTCTCCTGTGTATCGTGTGTTTGTATGGCGATAATCTGTCCCGCCCAATGTACGGAGGGTGCAGTCTTTCGCCTTAGGGCCAGAAACCACGCGTCACAGCTGCGTTACGTCGAATGTGTAATAATCGCCAGCTCTTTGTGTGTATCCATCTCGACCGTATCCACCAAGCTATGGTTTGGTCATTCCAACGCCGCCGGCTCGTGCTTCTGGTGTGCCAGGGCCGGCCGGTCCGATTTCCCGTTGTTTTATGTCTGTACTTTCACATCGTCACCGTCTTTTACTACTGAATGTGCACTGTATGCTACGCTGCTGGTTAAGATATGTTCAATTGTAAATAAACGGACAGTGTTTGAGGAGATTGTTACTGGAGCCTGTTCATTGTATGTTGGTAACGGGCCCGAACACGTGATCCGTCCCGAGGGCCGAGGTTCATTTGTATTTATTTAATGCTTCTATAGTATTATCAATGTCACACCAAGAAATGTTGATGGCATGACAAATTAACAAACAGCGCAGACCAGATATGGCATACATTGCTTGCTATAACTTCCAAGTATAATTTGAACGGAAAGGGAACGAGTAGTTTGTTCCTTTCCCAAAAACGACAGAATCTGCTCTGCTATGCGATATCAGGGGAAAAAATGACTGCTTGGCTGTTCGTTATTTTTGATACTGTAGAAACAACTAACTGAGGAAATATTGTCAAAGCAGCAAAACAACTAATATAATATAACGCTCATTTTTCGCCCTTTGGCAGTTCAATCGAAGTCCTTGCGAACCTTGCGATGCTTGCGAATCTCAGCAGCATAAAGAAAGGAAAACTTCATTTGGTAGCATCTTGTAGCAGCGTAACATGTTTCTCTATCTGGCGCAAGTAGGCAAATAACCGTTTCGATACTTTTGTTCTTTTTTGCCCTGAACAGCTAATTTATGCGTTTATGCTGCGAGTTGCCTAGTAATTTGATATTGCTTGTGAAATGAAGCGCGTACATTAGTAACATTCTCAGCGCCTACCTCACAGTCGAACACTTATTGTCTATTCACTTATTCCTTTTCTGTGTCTGGATTGAAATTATTTACTATTTTCGGCATCGAGCTCGGTGGTCAGGTGATTGGTATGGTATTTTTGCATTTACCGAGTGTATGACGAACGAAAAGTGAATCTAGGATATCTATGTGCATTGTGCAAAGATCAAAAGATATGGGCTTAAAATCGAAATACTGAAACATAAGTGATAGCCCAGATTGAAGTTAAATGGCTATTTATCCACATTTCTAATGCAAACATAAGATGCATTTTTATAAACTTTGATGCCATTTTATTATCATATACTTAACATGTACTTTATCTCTTAATGCTACATCTGCTTATCACTTGTGTCAGTGTAGGAGCTGCTTTTTAATGGGTTGTATGGAAGGTTCCGAGCTTATAAGTGACGTTCGCTCATATTTTTTTTTAGCAGGCTGCCAGCTTGCTGGTGTTTGACAGCTTCTACAGCTTCTTAAACGAACCCAGCAAAAACAACTGGTGCAATTTCCTCCTGATATTTCAAGGCATCCTAGATAAAATGTTGATGTTTAGTTATGTCATTGATTGATTGTATTTCTTAATAGACAAGTTCCAAAAAAGAAGGTATCTATTTATTGTCACTAAGGTATGTTACTATGCTTACATTATTTTGCAGAGCAAAGACTAGTTAGCAAGATGGAGGATGAGATCAACAATGCTGCATTAAAGGAAGCCTTAGAAAGTGGCATCGACCTACGTCAGTACTCTACTGAAGTGGAGCAAAAACTGAGACAGGTGATGAGAATGAGAAATAAATGAAAATGATTTTCTAGATGCTAAAAACCAACACTTTTGTAGCTGAAATAAAGACAATCAGACACTTGGACCTTGGCTCAGTAATTGGATATGTCCGTGAATGTAGATTGCTCAAAGTGGTCCCTATTTAAAAGATGTTTTGATTCACTTTGAAATATTTGTGTAATATTGCTATGTTGAGCCAAAGACTATCTTATTTGTAACAGTAAATAAGTTTATGATGTGATTGGGCTCCAGAAGCTAACTGAACATAAATCATGCATGTCATGAACTTGATGGAATTATTGTTATGGTTCTCTGTTTTCAAAGCGTCGCTTAAACTCCCATAGATAATTGAAAATAATGCTTGTAATGTGTGATCAATATTTACAGCAAAAATCCTATTTTGTTTTAGGTGGAAAATGCATCTATTCAGGACTACATCAAAGAGAGCAGAAATATCACTGAACTTCATGGCCAGATCACAGCTTGTGATGAAATTCTGGATGTGAGTAACCGAATAGTCTAGCAATAACAAACAACAAAACGTGTTTACTAAACATAGGATGGAAGTGAGCATACAGTCTAGGTGGTGCAAAAGCTGATGTTTAACTGGGGGCATCACCACCTGGTAACATAACAGGATAAATGAATGTGGTCCTGCCCATGGCCCCCCAACGTCGTGTCGGCTGCCACGGCCGTTAGCAGTGATGAGCAGGCCGAGAGAGAGGTGTGCAGTGTGACCTGTAATTTATTCCATCATTGGCTTTATAACTTCAACATGTCCAGCATATTTTTGTATTAATGAAGTTTTAGGCAATAGCAATGCAGGTAATAATTCCGTTTCATTTTGTCTGTCTAACCCAGTCATGCTCCCACCCTCACTGAATTCTTACCGTCCGTCGCCAGCGTATGGAGTCAATGCTGCAGACCTTCCAGTCAGATCTGGGCAGCATCAGCTCGGAGATAGTCCACCTGCAGCAGCAGTCGGTCGACATGAACCTGCGCCTCAAGAACCGGCAGGCGGTGCGCGGCCAGCTCAGCCAGTTCGTGGACGATATGACCGTGCCCGAGGCCATGATACGGTGAGTGGCCGGGTGGTGTCGTCATCGTGGAGGTAGTGACGTGCGGAATGGTTTTCGGTTTCGCGGAGCCGATAATACGCTATAGAATATGCTGCTGCTCTCGTGGCTGCTGAAATTTGAAATCTGAATGTTTGGGGCCTTAGGGAGAGAGCAATATGGGAATGCCACGAGAGTGTATAGTACCGAAATAGATGATGCGATCTTCTTACTATTCTGTCGTACCGGGAACCTTACTACAATGGCGCTATGAACTTGTGAAATGAGATACTGCGATCGATCGGTGTGTTTTAGTCTGTGCTTGCATTGTTCCAGGCACATACTGGAAACTCCCGTCACTGAGAGGGAGTTTCTGGAGCAGCTCTTCACTCTCGATCACAAACTGAGCTTTGTCAAAGAGCAGAGCTTCAGAGGTTAGTCAAAGGGTTTAGTATTTGCATATGTGGGATCCACTTTTCATTGGCCATTACTTTGACTTGTTTGACATATTACTTGTTTAAGTTTAGTTGTCTTCAGGTTTCCCGATAAGATTTTCATGTAGGACATTAGACATAAGCTGTCAATCGCTTGCAGGTTCACTTTACTATATAGTACGCCAACTTCCGGCAACATCATTGATGACCATTGCGATTTTGAATGATGTTAATGGTGCATATGAAGTGGATGCTTACTTGTCAACTCACTTTGACTTTCTTTGTCTTTCCCAGAGGCGAAGTCGTGCCACGATGTCAGTGGCGTTCTGGAGAAGCTGAAGATCAAAGCCATCGCCAAAATCCGCGAGTACCTCCTGCAGAAAGTGCAGCAGTTCAGAAAACCGATGACCAACTTCCAGGTTCCGCAAAACGCCATGCTAAAACACAAGTATGTACGGCGAAGCCGTAAATGCGAACTTTTTTTCTTGGTTTTCATTTTTACTGGCGTTGTCTAACGTAATACAAAGTAATGGATTCTACCTACCTAATTCCACTCCTTATTCGCAGTACGCACACCTCCTACACGTTCATTTTCTGCAGGTTCTTCTACAAGTTTCTGGTGGCTAACGAGCGGGAAGTGGCGCGGGAGATCCGAGACGACTACATCGAGACCATGAGCAAGGTGTACTTCAGCTACTTCAAGTCCTACTCCACACGGCTCATGAAACTGCAGGTGAGTGCAGCTGTAGTGGTGGAGGTTTGTAAAATGTAGGCTTCGTTAGGATTGTATGTGCAGTTTTTATGCTTGACCTCAATTGATACTTTTCTTTCGATACAGAAATCCTGAAGGATGAGGCCCTCGCCCCTCAGACTCAATCGATACTTTTCTTTCGATGCAGGAACCCTGAGAGATGAAGTCCTCAGAGTTCACGCGTTTTTTATGAATATAATGTATTTTCCTGCTTGAGAAGTAACATTATGACCTAACATTTCATGGAGCGCTGGTAATACCCATCCTGTTCCGTTGTGTTATGCGGATGGTTTCACTGCATGCCCACTACTTTCTTTTTTATCCGCCAGTTCGAGGAGGGTCCGACCAAGGACGACCTGCTGGCGGCCGACGAGGCAGCCTCCCGCTCGCTGTTCGGCAAGCCCTCGCTCCGTAACCGGTCCACGGTATTCTCTGTGGGCTCGCGCGGGGAGGTACTGAACGCCCTAGAGGCGGCCGTGCTGGTTCCGCACGCCGCGCACAAGGCAGACGCCCACTACCCACTCGAGAGCCTGTTCCGCAGCATACAGTACGCGCTGGTGGACAACGCCTGCCGCGAGTACCTCTTCCTCACAGAGTTTTTCATGGTGCACGGCAACGCGGCGCAGGATTTGTTCGCCTCCGTGATGGGGAAGACTCTACACAGCTGCGCGGTAAGAGCTCGGGGCGATTTGGGTTGGATCTAGTGAAGAAATGTGTTCATGTGACAGTCTGACCTGTAATAATTTGTTTTCATTGAAGCATATTTAAATGTTGTGCAACGTCATTTATTTTTGGAGTTCCTAGACACTATGAATGTTTAAAAAAACGATAATTACACGTTGGAAATAGATTAATTCCAGCTACTTCAAACTTATACAGTATTCGACAGTAATTCGTGCCGTGTTTTCCGGCAGAAATCGGTGGACGCGACGGTGACCGAGTGCCACGACAGTATCGCGCTGTTCCTGTGCATTCACCTGGTGCTGCGCTACCAGCTCATGTGCCACAAGCGGGCCGTGCCAGCGCTCGACAAGTACTGGGACATGCTGCTCAACATGCTCTGGCCTAAGTAAGGGATCATGCTCAGCTGTTAAAGCCTGTGGTTATGTAGATGTAGAGACCACTCGTGCTCAGAGGTCAACCTGTATTGGTCGCTCGCCAGTCAGTCACTGCCACAGACCAGTCCACACGACACGCTCGTCCACATTGAGCCTCAGGCAATATGCGGGTCAGCCTACCCTCCCGGCTCCCGCATGCGCAGACGCAGCCGTATGGTGGGGCCCGTATCATAAACGCAGCTACGGTAATATGTACGGTCAGGGCCTACGGAGATCGGTGAAACGTAACAGTTAACACCAATCCACCATACAATACACTCTCCTCCCTTTAACAAATAAGTTTAGATAACGAAAACACACGTTACGCCTGGAAAAACTCAGTTTGTTTCCGCACGCGAGATGATCTTCGCGGAGCCATCTCCGTAGCCGATGCAGGCACAGACTTCGGAAGAGCTGGCTCAGATGGCAGAGGCATCGCGGGCAGATCCTTCGTGCCGGGCCCCGTCGAGGACCCTCCCGTCGGCTGCGTCGCCGCAGCCGTCAGCGAGCCACCGGTGTCAGGGCCACCGGTCTCCGGTACGGTGGGCAGACCAGTGCAGACGGCCTCGGCAGCCGGCGCGGCCGTCAGCTGCTCCGACGGGCTGAGCTGCTCGTGAGCAGCTACATCAGCAGCAGGTCCTGTGACGGGATAGTTTGCGTCAGTTTTCCGCATCAACTGATCCTGATGACGACGCCAGATCCTACCATCCTCTAATTTGACCACATATGACTGCGATCCATCTATACCCACAACTACACCTGATATCCACGTGGGTCCCACACCATAATTGCGAGCATATATCGCATCCCCGATGTTCAGCTGTAACACTCGGGGTACAGCAGGGTCATGATTCAGCTTCTGCTGCAGCTGCTTCCGCTGAACACGGCTCTGCAGGTCAGGATGAAGAAGGTCTAGCCGGCTCCGGATCACTCGTCCCAGCATCAGCTCTGAGGGTGACACAGACGTAGTTGAGTGAGGGATTTTCCTCTGATACAGCAACCACTCAGCCAACACAGTCTCCCAGTTCCCATCTCCACTGCGCTTAAGAGCCTGCTTAACGTCACGAACTGCCCGCTCTGCTAGCCCGTTGCCTTGACTGTGACGTGGCTCTATCGTTCTATGTTGAACCCCATTAGCCGCCAGGAACTGCTGAAAATCCTGTGAGGTAAACGTTGTAGCATTATCAGAGCAGAGCATGTCAGGCAAGCCCCATCTTGCAAACATACGTCGCAATTTGACCATGGCTGCTTGCGAACTCACACTTGAGCACGGCTCAGCCTCAACCCACTTTGAATAGGCGTCCACTACCACAAAAATGTACTTGCCTTTGATTGGTTCCGCAAAATCCACATGAACCCTTGACCATGGGCGTCTCGGCCAGGGCCACATACTCAGGTCAGCCCGATGAGGGGTCGGACGACTCTCCTGACACGCAGAACATCGTCTGACCGCCATTTCCAGGTCACCGTCAATCTGGGGCCACCAGACGCAGCTCCTTGCCAGTGATTTCATCCGGCCGATCCCTGGATGGGCAGAATGCAGCTCTGAAATCACAGACTGGCGGCCCTTCTGTGGTATCACGACCCTGTGCCCCCACAGCAGCACGCCTGCACACACAGACAGCTCCCAGCGTTTCTCTGAAAACGGTTTCAATGCCGGGTCAGCTATCTCGGGCCACCCGCCCTTCTGCACCAGGTTCATTACTCTGGAAAGAACGGGGTCACGAGCTGTCAAACGTGCTACTTGCTTAGCATCAAATACAGCATCCTCAATCAGCAGCACCAGATCTTCCTGGCCAGAGCCATCTGCAACTGGCAGGGGAAGCCTGCTGAGGGCGTCCGCGTTACCCATGTCTTCCGTGCGCCTAAATTGGATGGCATACTGGTACGCAGACAACTTCAATGCCCACCTACGAATGCGAGCAGACGCCATAGCCGGAATGTCTTTGTTTTCTCCAAACAAAACTACCAGCGGCTTGTGATCCGTGACCAGTATGAACTTATTACCCAGCAAGTATTGATTGAACTTTTCTACCGCGAAAACGATCGCGAGAGCTTCCCTCTCCAACTGAGAATACTTCTGCTCTGAAGAGGTCAGACTCCTTGACACGTACCCGACAGGACGCTCAGCTCCATCCGCTTCACGCTGAGCCAGTACCGCTCCAATGCCTCGAGACGATGCGTCACAGACCAGCACTTGCTCCTTCGCCGCATCGAAGTGAGCTAGAACAGAGTCCGAGGTAAGGACACTCTGGGCCCAGTGGAAGCTTTTCCGCTGTTCTGGTCCCCATATCCAGTCCTTGTCCTTCTTGAGAAGGTCGTACAGCGCAGCCAGCCTCTGAGCGCGCGCTGGTAAGTACCTGGAGTAGTAAGTCAACAACCCAAGAAAGCTCTTCAGCTCAGACACGTTCCTAGGTTCAGGCACTGACCTGATCGCTTCAGTTTTCTCAGAAGTCGGGGAAATTCCATGCCTGCTGACCACGTGACCCAGGTACTCAACCTGCTGAACCAAAAACTTACACTTATCTGCTCTGGCTTTTAGACCCGCGTCTTCAAGCCTAGAAAACACCTTCTCCAGCGTGGTCAGGTGTTCGGCCTGTGTCTTTCCACTCACCAGAACGTCATCCAGGAAAACAATGACGTTGGGTATGCCCTGGACTGGAGAACCTTTTCAATCTCTCTCTGAAATATACCCACAGAACTGTTGATGCCGAACGGGAGCCTCGAAAATCTGAGAAGACCTCGTGAGGTGTTGATGGTCATGATGTCTCGAGAGTCCTCGTGAAGAACTAACTGATTGTAGGCCGAAGCCAGATCAATTTTCGAGAATACGGTACCTCCCGCTAGCGTTGCAAACAGATCCGGGACCTGTGGCAATGGATATCTGTCCAACCTCACCGCTCGGTTGGCCGTCAACTTAAAGTTGCCGCAGACTCGGACATTCCCGTCTTTCTTCAGCACCGGAACAATGGGCGCCGCCCAGCTGCTGTTCTGCACTTCCTCCAGGACGCCGCTGTCGATGTCCTTCTGGAGCTGGGCCTCCACCTTCTCCTTGAACACATAGGGCAGAGAGCGGGCCTTGCAGAACCTCGGTGGTACAGTACGGTCAATGTCCAGACGTACCTTTACCCCCTTCAGCTCTCCCAGGCCCGGCTCAAAGAGGCGCCGATACTTCTCCTTCAGGCCCTGCAAGGAACTGGTTCGAATGGCGTGCACGGCCCGCCAGTTGAGGTTGATGTGCTCCAGCCAGTCTCGTCCTAGAAGGTTAGTCCTGGCATCTTTTACCACCACAACTGTCAGGGCACGGTGCTGTTTGCCTTCATACCACACGTCTGTTTGAAACTCTCCCAACAATGGTATGAACTGACCCGTATACGTTTTCAAACGAGATGAGCACATTTTGAGTTTAGGCTTTCTGTTCAACTGTTCAAACGTATCCTGCCCAATCAACGATACGCTAGAACCAGTGTCAATCTCCATATCTACATCTGTACCTTGAAACTGAACCAGACAAGAAATGGGAGGTACACTCACCCGATGGACCGCTTCCGTTCTGCAGATCTCTTCATCCTGTTCTGCACGGCCAACATCTGTCGTGTAGTCCGCCTCCCATTCTTCATCTGCTTCAACGGCGTTTGCTCTGCCCTGCTGCCTCCGAGGTCTGACTGTCGTCTTTCTGACTGTGCACATTTTAGCCAAATGTCCAGCTTTCGAACAGTTGTGACACTTGTACGACGCAAAACGACACACATCAGGTGAGTGGCTCCTCCCGCCACAACGCCAACAGCGAGCCCCTGGACGAGCTGACTGACCTGACGGCAGGCCTTGCGCCCTTACCTCACATACCTCTGCCGGCACTGTACCCGGTGTGCCGGAGATCAGGTGAGCGTCTCTGCTGGAAGCCTCTATCGCCAGGCAGATCCTCTGTGCTGAGCTGAAGTCCAGGCTGGATTCTGACAGCAACCGCCGCTGCATCCGAGGATCCCTGATGCCGCAAACAAACTGCTCAGTGAGTCTGTCATCAAGCGTGGCTCCAAAACAGCAGTGCTCGGTAGCCTTCCTTAGCACAGAAACAAAATCAGCAACGGATTGGCCTGCCGTTCGTTGACACGAGTTGAACTTGAATCGCGACACAATGACAGATGGTTTGGGTTCTTTGTGCTCCCTTATTACTTGCAAAAGCTCATCAAACGACTTCTCAGACGTCTTAGACGGTGCTATCAAGCTACAAATAAGCGAAAAGGCCTCTTTCCCACATACCGTCAACAGCGTGGCGCGTTTCCTGCTCTCGCCTTGAATGCCGTTACATTCGATGAAGTAGTGCAGACGCTCCTCCCACTGGCTCCAGGAGTCCGTCGCCGGGTTGAAGGGCTCCAGCTGCAGGGTGGCCGACGCTGCCCCATCCATGGCCGTAGAAGTCGCCCCGCCGCGCCGGTTCAAATCCTCGTCGCCAGTGTAGAGACCACTCGTGCTCAGAGGTCAACCTGTATTGGTCGCTCGCCAGTCAGTCACTGCCACAGACCAGTCCACACGACACGCTCGTCCACATTGAGCCTCAGGCAATATGCGGGTCAGCCTACCCTCCCGGCTCCCGCATGCGCAGACGCAGCCGTATGGTGGGGCCCGTATCATAAACGCAGCTACGGTAATATGTACGGTCAGGGCCTACGGAGATCGGTGAAACGTAACAGTTAACACCAATCCACCGTACAATACAGTAGATATTTCATAATATTCGGTTTATTGGACGATGCATTGTAGTCGGACTCTATGACATTGTTTCGTCCTAGTGTCGTAACATTACAAAAATGGCATTCCTTAACATCATTCAGGTATACCAACTGCTAGTCGACTGTTTCGTAACAGCCTCACTAACACCGTCATCTATCCCGTCAGGTTCTGTCACATCATGGAGCTGAACATTGCCAGTGTGCGCCAGTGTGACCCGTCCAAGATCGGAACCATCGACGTCCGGCCTCACTACGTGAGTAACACCGTTACTGTAACTCTTCGTGAGTTACACTGGCGGCATACTGTTCGTGAGTTTTCCCGCCGGCATAACTTCGTGGGCTGTCGACCTACCAGTGTGACTCGTGGCGAGTGCCTCTGCCGCATGGTTCGGTGAACACCATTCGGGGTATTCGATACTGGGACTAGCCGCTAGCAAACTGCTATTTGGGACGCGGAAGTGGTGTCGGTTGCATTTATCCTTGCTGGTGAAACGATGCTAACTCTGGCATTAGATTCCGTTCAATCCGATTCAAAGGTGTTATGTACCGACATAATGAAATCTCTCATATCTCCCTCCCCTCTCACGACCAGATCACGCGTCGGTACGCCGAGTTCTCGGCGGCGCTGGTGGGCATCAACGAGTCGTTCCCCTCGGAGCGGGTGCACCGGCTGCTGGCGCAGCTGCAGGCCGAGATGGAGAGCCTGGTGCTGCGGCTGGCGGCAGAGTTCCGACGCAGGAAGGAGCAGCTCATCTTCCTCATCAACAACTACGACATGATGCTCGGCGTCATCATGGTACAGACCATGGGATGATGCCTACGTAGAGCGGTGGGGCGATGCGGTTACGTCAGTAATTTAGAGGTATCCTGCAAACGTACAATGGCAGGAGTGCTGGAGGTGCAGCGTAGGAGTCTAATTGAATTTTTACCCCAATACTAAGATAGCTTTTAGCTGCAGAGTGCGATAGCGAAATTGTAATTGCAATGCCTGGTCACGTTCTTGGTGGCCGTCATATAATGTAGCACGCTTCTGAACGATCGCATCTTTTCTCCATGCGCAATTATGTAACGTAAACCAGCAGCCTATGTCAAACGTCCACTATTCCAGCCCCTCCTGGTCCAATGCCTCGTATGTCCCGTCCTATTACCCCCTCCCCGGCCCCCAACATCTCACCCACGCTTTACCCACCCCTATCGTCCGTCAGGAGCGCACCAAGGACAACAGTAAGGAATCTGAGACGTTCCGCGAGCTGCTGGCCGTGCGCACGGCCGAGTACGTCGAGGAGACGCTGTCGCCCCACTTTGGCGGCCTGATGCAGTTCGTCAGGGATGCCGAGGCCATGGTGGAGCGCGGAGACTCGGAGGCGCTGAAGAGAGAGGAGCGTGAGTAGAGGGGGGGCAGAGAGATGGAGTGGTGAGCGAGAGAAGGAGATACGCATTTCAGCTGGGCTGTGTGGATATTTAACCCGCGGGGGGGGGGGGGGCTATTCATAGCCCCCCTCCCGCTTTTCTGCAATAACTTCCAAACCGCTTGACGTATCGACGCCAAACTTTCAACACCTTCGGCTGCATCAATTTGACACCTTGTGTCAAAATATGAACTTCGTAGCTACCATAAGTCGGCCGGAAATGACGTCAGAGTAACGTCATGTTCGGCCGATTTCGACGCAAAGCATTGAACCACGGCAATCGCTCCCAAGAGCTCAGTTTTTAAGCTAGATCCAATTTCTCTGCATGAGAGGACTCAAAATAGATTGCGCTATCAAACTGCTATCTCGGTTTTTCAAAATTTTGAAAATTTCGAAAATTTTATATAATAAAATTCAAAATTTATATTTTCATATTTTGTTTCAAAAAGTTTTTGACTTTTCGAAAAAAAACGGAATATGTATGATAGAACGCATGCTTATGACTAACTCTAGCAAGTTTTAGCTAAATATCTTCACAAATGGCCAAGTTATACGCATTATTGCAAAAAAACTCAATTAATAATTTTTCAAATCAATTTTTCAGTACGTATTTGACATCGTGCACCAATATAAATAGCACCATCGTGTTCCTGAGCTCAAACTGCATCCGATAGACACCTTTTTTGTTGAAAATTTTTACTTTAAAATTTGACCTGGAAGTGACCTGAAAGTGACTGACCTAAGCAAAATTCGACTCAAAATGACCTCGAATGACATAGACGACATCAAATTCGAAATATATGGCCTAAATGGACCATAAAACATGTGTCACGTGACCGACGCATGATATAATATTTCCGTGACCTGTGATGACGTGACCCTGACCTGAAAATCAAAGTACAATTTTGGTACCCTCAGGGTATCTAGAGCATCTGTTCACGAGAGTGTATACCAAAAATGAGCCTGATCTGACCTGTAAGACGGCGGCCAGAGCCCAAAATGTGAATAAACCAAAATGCTAATAATTTTTACTTTGACCTGACCTGTGACGTCATCGGTGACCTTGAGAGGTCAATGAAATTAGGTTTTGTTCGACAGTTTTTCCGGGGCTATCAGATGCCGTTTGAATTTTGACGATCGGCTCAGTAGTTTCGGAGTTAGGATGAAGGAGTTAGGAGCTAGGACTATGAAGAGCCCCCCCCCCCCCCCCCCCAGTAGGGCGTGTTATACGCAGACCCCAGTGGGGCGCGGGTTAAAGAAAAGTTATTCATTAGCAATGTCCTCGGCTTGTAAGTTTCATTTTAGTGGTTAGAAATAACTGCATCGCATCTGCTGATGTTGCCGAAGAGGCGTCAAGCCCTCATTGCTTTATAAAGTGTGCCCTGTGCTTACCAATCTCAAATGGGCCCCCGAGATGCTGATTGCGCATTCCACGCGTTCTGAGTGTAGCCTTTTTGACCTATGCTGAAGCCTGAATATCATTTTGTTGTCTATAGGGTGAAGTCGTATAAGAGTACGCACTAAGTGGATTTCTTGCTCTCATTTGTTTAATATTTGAAGGAAAGAAATCGCAAATAGGGAATATTAAAGTTCATTGAATTAGCCATCAACCCATGGGGCAACGATCCTTCAGCGTAAATGGAAGTGGTCTAAAACTGACATTTTCTGAACCGTTGCACTTGCGTACTCTTACCATATGGGGTGTGTAAGAGTACGCACGCCAGGCGGGTGGAGTACGCAAGCATATGAACACACACCTATGCAGCTTGCACTGTCCAAATGCTTAACTTTAAACTCAGAAGGCATTTAAGTTCATTCTAGTATCCAAAAAGAAAAACATAAAATAAATCTTTCGAGTCTATAAATCAGGAAATAATCATGTCGTGTGTTTCTAAAAAAAAAAAAAAATGCACAATCAAAAAGGAGAATAACTCGTATTTGGAAGAATTTCGGGTACGCATCTGCATCACAGTGCTCCATTGATGATATACCTACAAAACAAACGTCATTGAGCGATAGATTAATAATTATATATTTCTGTATATTCGATTTAATGTATAATTCTGCGTACTCTTACCCTCCTGAACAGTGCGTCCTCTTACCGTACATGCAATTCGCGCACAAAACAACCCCGAAACGTTGTGCAAAACTTCGCAAACAGAATATTGCACTGTACAGTATTTCCCCAGATAACCTCACAAGTTTCCCACAACAATCACGGAAATGTACCTCATCTCAACTGCCAAGTATCAAAATTATTGTACCATATCATAATAATATCATAACGCTCGAAAATAATATTCATCGCCTTAAACTCAACAGCGTCGCCGCTCAACGCCCACGTTCCGTTGGTGACATGCACGCACTGGCGGCTTCATGTCACTTCATGAACTCGACAAACCTGCGTTGCGAAGCAACCGAAACAGCTGATGCGTACTCTTACGCCCGCGTACTCTTACCCGTCCTTACCCTACTGACAATTTTTTGTCTGCTTGTCTTGAGCTAATACGATCTTCAAGAAATAAATGCCGTCTGACTGATAACGAAGCTGTAGATGCCGCTAGTGACGCACTTCGGTTTTCAGTTTCAGCCGATAGGTGTCACTACTATTGTACGCCTGATTTTATGCTGTACCGCACGGCTTGAATATTACCAGGCGCCCCCTTGATTGACCTAGTGGTACCGATAGTGATACGACGGATACCCACCACCGTGTCAATGACCCCACCGTGTCCCCTGTCCCAGGTTCACCTGAAACTGACAATAATACCGCCGCCAACAGGTCAGTGACCCTGCACTGTCCCCCTGCCGCAGGCCGCATCACCGAGCTGGTCCGCTCCTTCTCCGCCGGCTGGAAAAAGTCGCTGGAGGAGATCAACAACGAGATCATGCGGTCGTTCACAAACTTCCGCAACGGCACCAACATTCTTCAGGACGCACTGAAACAGCTCATCCTCTACTACAACCGGTTCACCAAGATCCTCGGACTGCAGGTGCTGAAGAGCCTGCCGGCGCGCGGCGAGGCCATCAACATCCACCACATCATGGTGGAGGTGAAGAAGTACAAGCCCAACTTCTAGCCGGAGGCCGCGGCTCGGGGACCGGGGCTTGGTGTGCGAGGTCTACGAGGACCTCACAGTGTGTATGTGGGGGGGGGGGGGAGGGGGGGCAGTGAAGTGAGCCGAGTCGGGTGGTTGGATCGGGGTGTGTGCTCGTGCAATGTGCGTGTTCCGCCTATATTATATATGAGTCAAGTGTAATGCTGGTTATATTTATTGTGTCGATGCATTGTGATAAGAGCTATATTTGTGTCCTGTTAGTGATACGCATTTGAAACATTCCTGTAATATATTACACAGGTGGTTTGTGCAGTGCGATTCTTGATAGTCAAACTAAGTTAGTGGCCGGGTCTCATAAATTCTGAAGGCTGATTGTTGATAGTCAAACTAAGTTAGTGGCCGGGTCTCATAAATGCTGAAGGCCCACGGCTTATATACTCAAGAGCCAAAGCACATGACCTTGACGTCGACCGAATACCTTTTTATAACGCTCGCAATCATCGATACCGAATAGCAAAGAGTGACATAAATTGGACGTATATTATCCAACAGGGGCTCACTGTTTGTACTGCGTCAACAAAATTCGCCTCTGGCGTCACAGTCAACAAAAGTTCTCAGTTGTACACTTATTTGTACGACCTTACTTCGGCCTAGGAACATCAAATAGGGTAAGGAAAGACTGCGGCATCTACAGATTCGGGTATCCGGGCTTACCTTGTCTCAAAATAAACGCCATCAGCCATGAGTATGACGTCTAAATGGCTGGACCTCACAGCTCTCTCTCCAACCAGCTACAGTTGTCTACTGTAGCGAAGTGAAAATGAAACAAACTTATTTTACCACATCTACCCATCACCTCTACCACAGCCTGCAGTTTAACAGACATAACTGATGGCAATGACAGTCCTGTAAACATGACTCTGAGCTTAAATCGGTGGCGGTAGTGGTGGCTCTGGCCCAGAGCTGTCGATACTTCTTCAGCAGCACTGCGGCCTACCGTCCCAGCCAGGCCCGCGCGACGTGATGGGACACCACGCCCACCCAGTCAGCTGTAGTCGGACAAAGACCTGCCGGATTGCAGCCGTTTACATACGGTCAGTCGGCGGCAAATGTACTGATTCACATGAAATTTGCACCATCGGGATAGGGCATATCGATCTCGCATGGACATTGACATAGAAAGATGCCGGTGTCGCATGGACAATGGACATAGATATTGATGACGCATGTACAACGAACATAGAAAGATACCGATGACGCATGGACAATGGACAATGGAGCGCAGACAAAGGACTCGCCCCTACCAAATGGAAAGTCCGGGGGCTGTTCCGGCGGGGGACAGGCGTAATTCACCTTTGCTAGCAAAGAGCCCGGGGCGGGCGCAACTCACCTTTACCAGATGGAAAGTCCGGCGGTGCCCGGAGCTGCTGTCCCCGGGAGGCTCACCACAGTCTGCTTGGCACGACCTGCCAACAGACCGAGGTCAGTCTGTGCCTCCTGGAGGAGCCCGCCTTCAGGCGCCTGTGCGCCACGGTGGGAGGTGTGGGCCGCAAGGCCCGCCGCGCCCGGCCTGCAACCGGTCGCGGTACGCCAAACGGGCTCCATCGCGCCCTCTCCGAGAGGGACCTCACGGCGGCCTTCCGTCGCCACCTCTCCGTCCTCGAGAGTTCCTGCTGGCGGGTCTGGGTGCCGCGCGCGCAGCGCGGCCCCGGCCCGCTGAATGATTAGTACACCGGCCGCGCCCCCCTCCGGCCCCGCCGACGGAGGGGGCGCTCGTCGGGCCCCGGTGGGACTGGACCGGAGACGGATCAAGAACCGAAGATATCACCGCAACCGTACGCGCCGCAGCCGCCTCACCATAGTGTGTTGGAACGCGGAGGGGCTCCGTACCAAGCTACAAGAGCTCCAACGCTGGCTCCCGACGGTCAACGCGGACATCGTCGCGGTTCAAGAAGCTCAATTCTCATCTAAGGCTGTATCCAGACTCCCCGGCTTTCAGCCCCCGGTGGTCGTCCGACGGACAAGAGGTCGCGCGGCCGGCGGAGGGGTGGTGAAGGGCGGCGACGTCGCGCTCTACCTGCGCGCGGGGCTCCAGTTCGCCGCCCTGACCTGCCCCCTACTTCACCCTAACGACGACTCTACAGAGGTATGCGGGGTGCGTCTCCTCGGGGACCGCCCCCTCACCATCATCAACCTCTACCGACCTCCGATTCGTGCTACCGATCTCGACACACGGATGGACAACTTCGATCCCTCGGCTCTTCCGGCGGACAACCACACCCTGCTGGTGGGGGACTTCAACGCTCACCACCCCATGTGGGACCACGGCTGCGACGCGGCAGACGCGGTCGGCGCGAGAGTGGCTGCGTGGCTTGGCTCCGTAGGCTGGACCACGCTGAACTCCGGCGAACCCACCCACGTCAGCTATCGCAACGGCTCCCAGACTGCGCCTGATCTGATCGCCTGCAGCGATGACCTCGCGAGGCGGGCGACGTGGCACCTGGGCCCCGATCTGGGTAGCGATCACCTGCCAATGGTCGCTCAAGTCGCCACGTCCAACCACGGCTCCCGCTGCATCCGCAAGCCGCGGTGGTCCTTCAAGAAAGCGGACTGGGCGGCGTTCCAGGCCGAATGTGAGGCTGCCTTCGAGGAGGCGGAGCCTTCGCTGTCGACCCAGGAGCTGTCCACCCTGTTCGTGAACGTCCTCCACCAAGCCAGCGTCCACCACATCCCCCGTGGTGCCCGGGCTGACCCGAAGCCCTGGGCGCTGGACCCGGAGCTGAGGGAAGCCATCGCGGAGCGCCGCGAGGCCCGCCGCCTGCTCCGCCGCGACGACCCCCCCTCGAAGGCCCGCTGGGTCGAGGCAAAACGCCGGGCTGCATCAGTCGAGCGCCGCGTCACCCAGGCTCACTTTCGCGACTTCGTTGGCACCACCCTGAACAAGCCAGCTAGTCTCGGAAAAGTCGCGAAGATCCTGAAGAAGTGGGAAGGCGCCCCCGCCGACCACCGACCAGGCGAGGCTATGGAGGACGGGGACTGGCTGCTCGTGACGGATGCCCAGAAGGCCTCAGCTTTTAACCGGACCTACGCACATGTCTCCCGGCACTCGGCAGGTCCGCGACCCCAAACTCGATCGGGCGGCCCAGCGCAAGGCGCGACAACACAGTCGCTGCGCAGCCTGCGAAGACACCCGCACGGGCTGCTGCGGCGCCTTCTCGATGGAGGAACTGGTTTCCCAGCTCCGGCGCTGTCAGCTGAGGAAGTCTCCTGGACCAGACGAGCTGTCGGCCGAACACCTCAAGCACCTGGGACCGATCGCCCGCGGGGCTCTACTGCGCCTGATCAACCTGTCATGGCTTGAAGGCGTGACCCCCCAGGAGTGGCGGCGGGCTGTGATCGTCCCGATTCCCAAGTCAGGGAAGGACAAGCGCAAGATAGCCAGTTACCGCCCAATAGCGCTAACCAGCCAATTGCTAAGCTGATGGAGCGCCTCGTCCTGGCCCGACTCACCTTTATCACCGACCAGCTCAAGATCATCCCGCCGGAGCAAGTCGGCTTCAGGGAGAAGCGCTCAGTCGAGGACAACCTTGGCCGCCTGATTCAAGAGGTGCAGGACGGCTGGAACCGACCAAGGTCCCGCCGGTTACACACCCCAGATGGCCAGTCTGCCCAGAAGTTTGTTCTCCTGGCGTTCGATTTCTCCAGGGCATACGATACGGTAGACCACCGCCTGTTCCGTGCGCGCCTCCTGGGCCAGGGTCTGCCTCGCTGCTTCGTCCGGTGGGTCTGGCAGTTCCTCCGCGACCGCCGCGCGTGCGTGGAGCTCAACGGCACGCGCAGCAGCGAGCGCATCTACCGGGCCGGACTTCCCCAGGGCAGCGTCTTGGCGCCGACCTTGTTCTTGTTGTGGTCGGCGCCTCTCGTCGCCTCCCTGAGGTCTGTCCCTGGAGTGTCTCCCTTCATGTATGCGGACGACACCGCGGCGCTGTGCGCAGGAAACGACATCATCACCGCCAAGCGGCGCGCCCAGCGTGCGGCGGACGCTCTGGTGCACTGGGCAAGACAGTCCAAGATGCTGGTGGCGGGTGAGAAGACCCAGCTGCTCGTCCTCTCCCAGAGCGCCGCCGACGCTGCGGACTGCGCCATAAAAGTCGACGGGAAACTGGTCCCAGCGGCCAACCGTCTTAAGCTTCTCGGAGTGACTCTCGACCGGCTTCTTCACTTCGGGGCCCACTGCCGCAGCCTCCGCTCCCGGGTGCGCCCCCGGACCCAGCAGCTCCGCAAGCTGACGGGGCGAAGCTGGGGACTGGAGGAGCGGCAGCTCCGCGCGGTGGCGTCGGGCTACGTGGGAGGAGCACTGCTGCACGCGGCCGCCGCCTGGCTCCCGGCGACACCTCAGTCCCACGTGGAGCTCCTCGAGAGGGAGATGCGGGCGGCGGCCCGCACCATCACCGGCTGCCCGCTGTCCACCCCGGCCCACGCTGTGATGGCGGAGGCCGGGCTGATGCCGGTGGCTGCTCGCCGGCGGGCCGCCCAGCCGGCTGAAGACTGTGACGGGCTGGCGCGGGGTGGGGCATGATACCTGGCGGGCTGCTGGGATCGTGCTGCCGATCGAGCCCCTGCTGCCCGCCCGCGCGCCGCCGTGGGAGGTGGCCGCCTGCCCACACGTCACATTCTCCCTGGACATCGGAGCGCTGCGGCGGGACGCCCCACCTGACGAACTGCACCAGGCGGCGCAGAGACACCTAGCGTCCCTCCCCCAGCAAGCCATCTGGGTTTGGACGGATGGGTCGGCGGATGCGGGAGTCCGCAGCGGAGGAGCAGGAGCCTTTGTGGAGTGGCCGGACGGTGCGACCGACGAGCTACGCGTCCCGGCCGGTCAACTTTGCTCGAGCTTCAGGGCGGAGATGGTCGCACTCCGCGCGGCCCTGAACCACCTGCGCGACCACCCGCACCAGCCGAGCGCGCTGATCACCATCTGCTCGGACTCGCAGTCGGCCCTCGCGACGCTGAGAGAGGGCCCGGCGTCCCAGAAGACCCTGCTAGGAGCCGCCATCTGGACCAAACTAGCGGCCCTGGCCGGTCCGTCCCGCCGGATCCACCTACAGTGGGTGCCGTCCCTTTGCGGCGTCGACGGAAACGAGCGCGCCGACCAGATCGCCAAGGAGGCGGCCGCGCTCCCCCAGGCGGCGGTCCCGGTGGACGTCGCTACCGCCCACCGCGCGGCCGCCGGACTGGCCCGCGACCGCACCATCGCCGCCTGGCCGGAGGGCTGGTACCGGACCCTGATGGGGAACCGGCTGCCGCCGCCGGCCGCGACGGGGGACAGATCGTCGGCCGTCGACGTCCACCAGCTCCGCGCGGGACACTGGTCAGGATCCCGCCAATACCTTCACCGGATTGGACGGAACCCTTCCGATGATTGCCGCCAGTGCCCTGACACCGACTGTGCGGCGGGCCTGTGCACCGTGTGCCGGGAGGAGGCCGACACGCCCCGGCACTTCTTCTTCCGGTGCCCGGCCCTCATGGGCTGGCGTCTCCGGAGGTACGGGACGATTTTCCCGAACCCGGAAGACGTCCGCGACGACGGAGAGGTGGGGCCAGGGCCGCCGTGAGGGACCTCCAGAGCCGCACGGCTACACCGCGGTGACGCGGCTGGAGGGAACACACAACAACACAACAACAACAACAGGTCAGTCTGTCAGTCCTGACCATTCGGAACAGTCAAGTTTAGCCCGCCAGTCTCAGTTAGACAGTCCAATAAAGTCTGCCAGTCCGTTCAAACCAGCCTAGTCCACCAGTTCAACCCAGTCTGCCAGCAAACCTCAGTATGTCAGCCCAGTCCCATCAGAACAGTCCAGTTCAGTCTGACAGCCCGACCCAGCAGCTAACCAGGGTACAGACTGCAGGCCGTTGGTGTGTGTGTGGGGGGGGAGGGGGGAAGGCTGGGTAAGTAGTAAACATGGGCAAACGCACTTATGGCGCCACAGATCATAGTAACAGCACCAAGAAGCAAACTGTGTAGCGACTTTCACATGACAGCTAAACATGTAATGATGCAAGCCAAATGTTCATACCCGATGGCCAGTCTTGCTTAGGCTATAGTGTCTGAACACCTACCGCCCTCTCTCCTAGCTACAGCTCCACTAAGTCCCCACTACACGTGCTCTTACCGCGGCCACATCCGAGGTTCATCCTGTGGAGGGCCTTCTCCACCGACTGGTCAGCGCTGGGGCCGGCGCTGAGGCCCACCGGCGCCGTCACCTCCTGCACCCGCTGACCTGGCGACGCACGGTGACGGGAGACGTTAGCGAGGGAACGCATATTTAGCAGAGATGTGGGGTGAGGAGACACCGATGAGGGAATAGGATGTCACGGTGGGGGATGAAAAGGGGTGAGGAAAGAAGCGTGAGATGGTGACGGTAGGGCCATATAAAAGAGCTGTAGCCCCGAAAGACAGCATTAATATGTCCCGTAGCCTGTCCCGTAGCTCACTTGGTAGAGCGTTGGACTCCCGGTAGTGAGTCGTGAGAGCCCGGGTCCTCACAGGGATGGTCTGCGGTTGGTGGGAGCAGCCGCAGCCAGTTGAAGTGAGTTGAGTGGGACAGGCCAGGCCGTGTCCGGCTTTGAAGGGCACGTTAAACTTTGGCATCTAAAATTCTGCGGCCGGGGCTGGTCACTCACCCCTGCCGAGCTGCGGCCGGGCCGTCAGAGCCAGTGTGCTCGAGTAGGGCATGCGCGGCACGGTGGGGCGCCGGCCCACCCCCGTCGAGGCCGAGGCTGCCGTGGTGGAGCTGGCTGCTGACGGCGGCGCCGAACCGCCCTCCTGGATCTGCCTCAGACGCGCCACCGTCTCCGAGCGGAACTGGCGCCGCGACGACTTGCCCATCGGCTCCTGCGGGAACCTGACCGGTCGCAGTAAAGGCCGTGTCACTGGGTGACTGGGCGGGAGTGGGCCTTATGCAGTACTTCATGTAATATCGGTACGGAACAGCGTTTTGGAAACATGCAAGCGTTTCTAGTTACAGTGCACCTCAGTATATATTGCGCTAACGACCATTTAGCCTTGCACGTGGCAAAACTCGGGCAAACTCGGTCTTATCGATGGCTTTACAATGCGTCATAGCTGCTTGGTGCAGACGGACACCTCCCTGTAAATTATCCCCCTCCCCTCCCTCCCCCCCCCCCCATCACAACAGACTTACTCCATCCAGCCCGCATCGCCATTCCCACAGAAAGTTCGGGTCAAATGATTCACCTTCCCGGCTCCCACTATACCCCAGTGGGGCCCCGAGCCACCTGTGACCCACCTGTACACGTCTCGGTTGGAGATGGCCGCGCTCGGGTCATACGAGCCGCGGCGACGGTACGACGGAACCGCGGCCACGTCGTCGTCCCAGTTCTCGCCGCTGGAGAACTGAAAGTCGGGCGCGCTGTCGATGGGCTGGGACCGGATCCGTTTGTCCGACTCGTGGACTGCCAGACACCGGGAGGGTCATGAGACTACGTGCGAGGTAAGAAATATACAACTGCAAATCGAGAGCAATCAAAGTTGATCGACTGAGGCCTTCTAAACGATAATCAGGGTTCCATTAAATTAGTCATGAGGGTGCATCGGTAAAGTCAGCCGATAAATCATATTTGTAAATGAGTTGCATTTATATAGGTTAGTCATAAATCAGTCTACATGTAACCGACCCATCACAACCACACACAGGTGACGGGCATTCAGACATATTCAGCGCTCTGCCACCCCCCGAAGCGAAGTCTCACTCTCGGCCAGTTTTTCCGTGATGACCCGGTCGAGGCGGTCCCGGTCCGGGCAGTGCTCGATGTGGTGCGCGTACTTCGGCACGTCGATTATGTGCTTGGCATTGAACGTGCAGATGCGGACGTCACGGCCCACTGTTTGCTGTAAGGTGCCAAAAGAAGAAGAAAATTGTATTTTTTATTATTCATTATTATCATTATTAAATCATGCTTTTCCATTTAAACCACGCATGACTGGGGGGGGGGGGGGGGGGGGGCTCTACAGAGCCACCCTCCCGTTTTTCGGCAATATCTTCTAAACCGTTTCACGGATCAACACGAAACATGCAGTAACCTCAGCGGCATCAATTTGACACCTTGTGTTAAAGTTCAACTTTCTAGCTAGCATAGTTTGGCCGGAAATAGCGTCAGAGTGACGTGATGTCGGTCGATTTTGATGCAAAATATTGAATTATGGCAAACGCTCTCAAGAGCTTAGTTTTAAAGCTAGATCCAATTTCTTTACATCAGTGGACTACAAAGACACGTAGCTATCAAACTGCTGTCTCGAATTTTCGAAATTTTGAAAATGTTAAAAATATGTTTTTACAATTACAAAAGATTTATTTCTTTTTTTTAAGTTTTTGATTTTTCGCAAAAACCGGAATATATGTGATAGAACACACACTGATAAACTACTCTAGCAAGTTTTAGCCCAATATCTTCAAAAATAGCCAAGTTATTTGCATTATTGTCAAAATTTTACAATTATACATTTTCAAAACCATTTTCCAGTATGTTGGCACTATCGTGTTCCTGAGCTCAAACTGCATCTGATAGGCACCTTTTTTTTTGTTGAAAAATTTCATTTTTAAAATTTGACTGTTCTGCCCTGAAATTGACCTGACCTCCGGTAATTTCATCTGAAAATGACCTCAAATGACCCATACATTATTTTTCGAAATTTACGTGTAAAATGGACCATAAAACATGCGTCACGTGACCGATACATGATATACAATTTTCATGACCTAGGATGACCTGGCCTTGACCTGAAAAATTCGAAGTAAAAGTTCGGTACCCTCAGGATATCTAAAACATATATCAAGAAGTGCATAAACCAAAAATGAGCCTGATCGGACTTGTCAGTCGGCGGCTAGAGCCTAAATTGTAAACAAGCAAAAATGCCGATAATTTTTACTTTGACCTGACCTGTGACGTCATCGGTGACCTCGAGGTCAATGAAAATAGGTTTCGCTCTACAGTTTTTCCGGGGCTATCAGACGCCGTTTAAATTTTGACGATCGGCCCAGTAGTTTCGGAGATAGGACGGGGGGCTCTGGAGAGCCCCCCACCCCCCTCCCAGTCATTCGCGTTATGGAAAATACCCCAGTCATGCGCGGGTTAAATCTATTATATTTTATGAGTGCATGAAACACAAACATTGGTCGGTCCCGTAGCTCAGTCGGTAGAGCGTTGGACTCCGCATGGTGAGAGCACGCGTTCCCGGCTACAACAGTCCGGGTTCGAAGCGCGACGGGCGCTTGACGTTTATGGGCCTCCTGACAGGCATGGTTGCGGTTGGTAGCAGGCCGTAGCCAGGCGAAGTCAGTGAGGGGACCGGCCGTGCGCGGCTACGTGTGCACGTTAAACTTTGGACTCTAAATTCTGCCATAGAACTGGAATTGCGCGATCGGAGGGTAGAGGGCAGGGTCAACGCAACAAGCTTCGCTTAGCGGGGGCTCTGTTCTTGTGAATCCTTCCAATCAAAAGTGTTGGTGCAGCAAAACCAAGAGTCACAATTGCATAAAATCCAGGACCCGACGGCTTTGCAGCGATAACCGCTCGTGAAAATTTAAATGACAAGTTTAACGAATTTAGGTAGACTCGAGAGACAAAAAGGAAGAGAAAGAAAATTTTTGAAATGGCTTGAATGGCAAACCTCGAAACGATAAATATAATATAGGAAACGAAACAAATGAAGAAACACTAAGAACCGCGAAGTAAAACGAAGAAATCAGAAGAATAACGAAACGAAATGAAAAGTGATTAGTAAATCATGACGGTGTATTGACATGGAAATCACTTGCGAGGTTAAAATACATGTTAAATTACGATTAAGTTGATATCGTATCGAATCACCAAAGCCATTTGATGCCAACAGGCACTAACAGTTTCGAGGTGTCTATATCAACAATAGTGCAATGCAAGAATAAATGTTATCAAGAACTGAAAGTCGAATATTCACAGTTTTAGGCTCAGCTGAGTCTACATTGAAGCTATCATTACTCCCGATATTATTTGAGCCTGGTGTTGTTCCGTCAAGAAGAATTGTTTGAAGAATTGTCAAGAAGATTAATAGCACGCTGCTATTGCTAATTCGAATTCATACAAAAGTTGTCAAACCTGCTATCGAGGTAAGGTCTACACAGCAATTATAATCCCTGGCAACTAAATCAACGGCATCAACTGCATAACTTGGACACCCGTTGGCCTGTGCTTCACCCTAGTTTCTTAGCGTACCGTTACGAGACAATGGAGAATTTGAAAGTGTCTGAACTTAAAATGATGCTGAAGGCACGCGGTCTTAGCTGTAAAGGAAACAAGGCCACGCTTGTAAATAGATTGGTAAATGTGCTAGGAGCGCGGAATACGTTAGATGCCGAGCCATGTTTGGAAAATAGTGCAGTTCATCCCGATGACAGTGTGTCCCGTGTTGAGTCCCCGTCTGCTTCTGTGTCTCCTTCCAATGTTAAGTCTGAGTTAAGGCGCGCAGAGGAGGCAGCCGATAGAGCCGCTCTCATCGAAAGATTAAAGTCCTTAAAAGAAAAACAGCTCATTGAGAGTCAAATTGCTGAACTTAGACGTGGACAGGAGCTGCTGGAAATTCAGGCGACCTTAAATGAATTAACTGCTAGAGAGCAGGCGTTAAAGACGTATAGAAATGATGATGATGTAAGCCCATTACCAGCGAGCTTTCATTCGTTACCCTCACATGAGACGGAAACCACTCGCATCTCTCACTCTCACGCTAACCCTACACTCCAGTACGTCCCAAACTTGCGGCCGGATATATCTCAGCAAGCACCACCCGCGTTTAGTCGCCGCGCTCATGAAGGCACATCTGCTGCTTTAATAACCGAAAGAGAAAGGACGGCAGCGTTGATGCGTCTGCCTCCGATCGAAATCAAGAAATTTGGGGGTGATACCACTCAGTTCGCTCAGTTTATTCGATGTTTCGAAATGAAGATCGCTTCTAAATTGGATGATGACAGTGAAAAGTTATATTACCTGGAACAAAACATAATTCCGGGAAGTAAGCCGCACAGTATTGTTGAGAGCTGCATGTATCTTGAAGACGGGTATCAACATGCGATGCAGATTTTGCACAAGAGGTATGGCCAGCCTAGCACAATCGCAGCTGCCTTTATTGATAGAATAAGTAGCCAGGAACAGCTCAATGCAGAAAATGGAGAAGAGCTGGACCAGTTCTCGTTGTTGCTCCTCAGTTGTAAGAATGCACTAGGAAGCTCGTGCAGCTTCATGAATGATCCTCGAACCCTGCGTACTATTACAAGGAAGCTACCGGTACCACTCCTGAGTAGATGGCGACGTCGTGTAGACGATTTGGAAGAGTATCAGGGGCGGCCAGCAGTCTTCGAAGACCTGGTTGAATTTGTAGCACGAGAAGCCAGAATAGCCACAAACGCTTCGTTTGGACAACATATGTATAGCAGCCGTGAAGGAGCAAGTGCAAAGCAGAACGAAGGGGAATTATTTTCCCAAAGTTATCAGAAACCTTTAGTTGCGGCGACGCGCACCCAGTCTCAGAATGACAGCGGGTGTCTGTTTTGCGGGGAGAAAACGCATAATGTTACGGAGTGTAACAGGCTGAACAGCGTCCCATTTGAAGAGAGAAAACAATTTGTGATGAAAAATGCTTTATGCTTTGGGTGCCTCCGTAGAGGCCATAGACGTTCATTTTGTCGCAGACCAGTGAGCTGCCAGCTATGTAACCGAAATCATCCGACGGCGCTGCATGATCGCACTTTAGAAGATCGGCAAACGCTGCTTAAACAGCCGCCTTTGCCAGAGGATACAAACACAGCCAATGCGACCACTTGCCGTGTCGCAGCAGACGAACTCAAAAGGGGTGCTATGCTGCCGTTGGTGGCTGTGAAGATCAAAAGCTCTTCGGGACAATACACTACATACGCCTTCCTAGACAGTGGTTCAACGCATTCGTTTATAGCGACGTCATTATTGCGCCTGCTCGGTATGGAGCACCGTCCCGGTCGGCAGCTGTCGCTGACCACGGTGCATGGTGCCGCTTCTATCCCGACTCAGATAGCAGAGGGGTTGTCCATTACTGACCTCCAGGGCTTCAATACTTTGCAGCTGCCACCCCTCTACACTCTGCCAAGTATTCCCGTTGACTCTGGTCATTTCCCTAAGGTTGCAGATGTTGAAAGGTGGGAACACTTACGAGGCATTGATCTCCCAGATTCTAATGTATCAGAAGTCGGTTTGTTATTGGGAGCCAATGCATATTTAGCAATGGAACCACTGAGGGTTATACCAAGCATAAATAACAGTCCGTATGCAATACTCACAAGATTTGGATGGATAGTATGTGGAATAAATCAGACGGAAGGTCAGACGGCAAACAACGCGATCTTCAAGACAAACGTAACCGCGAGCACAACGCTAGAAGAAATGGTAAAATCTCTATACAACCACGAATATGAAGAAAGCCTTCACTGTACCAGGAGAGGTTTGTCTGCAGAAGATCGGTTGTGGCTCCAAAGAGTCAATACTTCGATTGAACATGACGGCCATCACTACAGTATTACTTTACCACTGACTGAAGAAAGTTTGGTTTTACCGAACAATATCTCAATTGCAAGATCGCGGTTAAACAAGTTAAAATTCAGATTGGAAAGAAACAAACTGTTCGCTTTCGATTACATGTCGTATGTGGACACAATGATACAGAAAGGATTTGCAGAACGTGTTCCAGAAGGAAGTGAAAATAGAAACGATGGTAGGGTGTGGTACCTGCCTCACCATGCCGTTTATCACTCGCACAAACCCGACAAAATACGGGTGGTTTTTGACTGTGCCGCTCAATTTCAGGGCATATCACTGAACGATTGCTTGCTT